TGTTGCTCCTAAGAAATCTTTTGAATCTTTTTGAAGCTTGGCTCGAGGCTCATGATTTAATTAGGGCAATCGCCGGATCCCTGACAGGTGGAACTGCTGGATGACCTTCTACCAGGAAAGTTGATTGTGGAGCCCCAAAACTAGAACTCCTTGGTCTTGAAATTCAAGCCAACACATGCTCCAACATAGGAGACCCAGACAGATTGTTTCCTAAGGAATATCTGCAGAAGTTCCTGGCCCCACCATCACAACACAAGGGCCGCCTCTTTTATCTGTGCACGGGATGTCAGGGTGCATGTTGAAATTAGTTGTGATGGAACTATACTACTTCCTTCCATCTGTCTGTCCCTCTGGTCTGTCCATCTTAAACCACCTCAAAGAAAAAAAAATAATGTAATTCCTCCGTGCTGTTTTGTTATTTTGCATATCATTTTCACGAATGTGGCATTTTAACATCCTTATGTATGGCTGAAATTCAGTCAGTCTCTTCAAAGTCCTTTACAAAATTGAGATTTAGCATAGTGCAGTGTTGGTGAGGTATCAGGAGTTTTAGATTCAATGTGTGGAGGGTGAAGGATGTTTGTGTTTTTTTTCATCATGGTCATGAAGTGCATTGAAGATGATGTTTGATTTTGTTGTACGAGATGCAATGACAATAAAGTAAAGAGATGAATAAATACACAAATTTATTTCTCACAAGAATAGGGCGTAGTTTCCAGCCGCAACTTGGCTGAACAGCAGGAGTACCACTGCTCAGTGGGATTTTTCTTTTTTTAAAAAAATTACATTTTATTTATTTGTTTGTCAAACATGTACAAGATAACAAGCGTAAGTATGAACATAAACAAGAACAAAGGGAGTAAATACACATCAATGGGGACAGGGACTGTAGGCATGCTGGGTGCACTTATGCACACCCCCTTTAAAGACCTCTTAGGAACGGGGTGAGATCCACAGTAGACAGTTTGAGGTTGGAGCTGCAAGGGTTCAAGGCTGTGACAATGGAGTCGGGTAGGGCGTTCCCGGCGTTGACCAACCTGTTGCTGAAGTCATATTTTCTGCAATCGAGTTTGGAGTGGTTTACCTTGAGTTTGTATCGGTTGTTTTCCCGTGTATGATTGTGATTGAGGGTGAAGAAGTCGTTGACAGGCAAGACGTTGTAGCAGACAATTCTGTGTACTATACTTAGATTGGACTGCAGGCAGTGCAGTTCCAGATTGTCCAGGCCCAAAATTTCAAGCTGGAGACATGGGGAATTCTATGGAGAGTGGAGGAGGGGAGGACTTTTCTCGGGAAATACCTCTGAACCCGTTCAATTGTGTTAATGTCCAATATACAGTATGGGTTCCAGGCGGACAAGCTGTATTCAGGAATTGGTCTGGCAAAGGTCTTGTATGCCCTAGTTAACAGATCAACGTTGCCAGGGAAGACGCTTCACAAAATAAGGTTAACAATTTTTAAAGCCTTTCTGGCAATGAAAAAAGATTGGATGAAGAAGTTCCATGGGATCTCAGAGACTCCTGCTAAGATCCCAACCCTCAACCCACATGGCAGCCTTGGCTGTTCCCACTCAACAATGGGTGGTACCATTCTTGCTTTTGGCAAGGGACCTAATTAATCCGGCTGGATCCAACCATTAGACCGATGACACAAACCTTGGCATGATCATATATCTGCCTTGTATCATCTAAGCAAATGGGAATCCATCTCCACGTCTTGCTTGCCAACGATCCTGGTGTCGATTGGCTGTGCTAAGAAGAAGAAAGTTTACAATTACGATTAACTGGGAAAAGCTGCAAGCGTTTATAAGAGATAGCTTTCTCCACAAAACGGTTTTGCATACAAATATTTGCCCTGAGTGTGTGTTTTCTCTGCACAGATTGTTCTAATGCAATGAGACCCCTTGCCAATATTTGCATAGTTCCTCAAATTTGTTTTATTCACAAAGATTCCTTTTTTTCCTGCTTTTTCTCCCTTTCCCCCCTCCATAAACCCAAATATCACCTACTTTCTTTCTCTTCTTAACAAGTTCATTTTATAGTCATTGATTTACTTTTCAGGCAAGATAAATTTATCTTCCGCTTTTTGGAATTTTTCACCATCAAAGGGGGAAAATATATTTGTGCCAGGAAAAGCAGACTCTGCACTGCATGCCTGGAGTTCTGCACACACCAAGCTGTTAAACTCGGAGAGTGCCAATCACAAAGGCTAGGAAAGTTTGATGACTCGGTGCCGTTATTCAGAACATTTTAGCTCTCTGCTCCCTCTCTCATTTTCCCAAAAAGAAATTAAAAAATGAAACCAATTCCTGTTGCTTTAAGTGATTTCCACTTTAAAAAAATATTTCAAAGACAAATTCCACATCAAAAAACGTGGTTCACCATGAATTCTATCCCAGAGAGGCAGGTATTAGGTTTTCTAAGGACTGGTGGCTTAGAAGTAATAAAGCTATAAACTTTATGTAGGGAAAACATGAAATGAACTTCCCACTCTGGCAAAAGTTCTATTTGGCCCGAGTTGCAATAAATTTTGGGTTAGGACTGCGGTTTATTTTTTTCCCCCTAGTTTCTTGGCAGAATTAATCTGGCTTTCGTTTGTTTCTTGTTTAATAGATTAAGTTTATTCTAGGGTTTACCCAATCATTTTATCTTGTAGTTTGCTGGGATAAAAAAAAAAAGCAGGCACACAACAATGCCAGCAAACGTTGACATTTATAAACTAGTGGAATTCAACAACAAGATTAATAGGAGATTTGGGAACTGAAAAAAGTGAGGGGAAAGGAAACTCAAAGATTTCAGAACTGGAAGGCTTCCAACTTATGCGTTGTAGTCGCAATGGCTTTAAAGTCTTCTGCAACAGGAATATTAGATGAAGCTGAAGGAGTAAAAAAACCACCTCCTACCAAGGCTGCATCACATGTTAAATGATGCTTAGGTTTTGTGGCCAAAACTCAGTTGCATTCACCCAACATACTTCACTTGTGGGGTCCTTGGTGCTTTCTGAGCTTGGTCCCTTTCTTGTAGACATTTCATCACCCAACTAGGTAACATCTTCAGGGTTTCAAGCAAGCCCAACTCCTTTCCGGTGCTGAACATAGAACGATGGGGCTGGAAGGAACCTTGGAGGTTTTCTAATCCAACCCACTGCCCAAGGTAGGAAGCTTTATACCATCCCAGACAAATGGTTGTCCAATCTTTTCTCAGAAACTTCTAGTGATGGAGCACCTACAACTCCAGGAGCCAAGCTGTTCCATTGCTTCATTGTTCTTACTGTCAGGAAATGTCCCTTTAGTTCCAGGTAGGATCTTCCTCTGACAAGTTTCCACCCATTGCTTCTTGTCCTGTCCTCAGGTGATTTGGAGAATAAATTCACTCCCTCTTACTGGTGACGGCCCTTCAAGTTTTGGAAGACAGCTATCATGTCACTCCTAAAACTTCTCTTCATTAGGCTGAACATGCGTGCTTCCCTTAGCCATTCATCACACAACGATGGTGATATCTACTTGGGTAACACAACATCTGCAAGAAAACAACCAAGTTATCAAGGACGCCCGGTTCAGTTCTAAGCTAGAAATATTCCGGCTAAGCAAATGCTGGCATTTTCACCCAGATCTGAATTATTCTGCATATTAAGTCCTTGATGAAATAACTTGTAGGGATGCTGAGTTTGCAAGCTTTGCACATCACCACTAATGTAATTTAATTACTCGTTTATGTGATACATAAATTAATTTGGACATAAACTTTCTTCGGGATACCTCCATAAAGAGCAGACGTAATAAATAAATAATCCTAATCGCACCTTTAGTGGGTATTGACTTATTTACAGAGGCAGCCAATGGCCATATTTCAAGGGAGAGATTTCAACGGGGAGTCAAAAACGAAGCATATGGAAGATTTTAGCATCTCGCCTTCGCCTTGGCCACAGAGCAAATCCCATGGAATGGCAGTTCTTATTTTGGAAGACTAAATATACCGGCGTTGGAACATTTTGTGGCCATATGGCATTTAGATTCAATACCAGAATTGGCCCTATTAGCCTCGTGATAAATCAGCATGGGGTGAGGTTTGAACGGCTCCTATCTTGTTTGTTTGGTGATGGTGCCCCTATCACAAAACACCGGTCTTTCAAAAAAAAAATGCTTTCAATCAGAATAGAGCTGGAAGGGACCTTGGAGGTCTTCTAGTCTAACCCCCTGCTTAGGCAGGAAATCCTATACCATTTCAAACAAATGGTTATCCAGTCTCTTCTTAAAAAACCTCCAGTGATGCAGCACCCACAACTTCAGGTGGCAAGTCGTTCCACTGGTTAATTGTTCTCACTATTAGGAAGTTTCTCCTTAATTCCAGGTTGCTTCTCTTAGTTTCCACCCATTGTTTCTTGTCCTGCCCTCTGCTGCTTTGGGAAATAGGTTGAGTCCCTTTCAAAGGGATTCATCATGTTTGCTCAAAGTATTTGAAAAAGTGCAAAACTCTCTGGATGGCACCAAAAATGAACAAGAGAATACATTTAAATTCCCAAGGATGCTATTTTTTCTCCAGTGGGTTTGCAGGTATTCCTTACCTTGTATCAATTGGTTTAGTGACCATTCAAAGCTACAACGGCACGGAAAAAAAAGGGACTTACAATCAGTTTTCACCCTTGCGGAATCCCCCAGAGTCAACATTCAGACGCTTGGCCACTGATTCATATTTATGACGGTTTGTAGAATCCGGAGGTCACGTGATTCCCTTTTGCGTTCTTCTGACAAGCAAAGCCCGATTCATTGAACGGCCGTGCTCCTAACTTCACTACTGCGGCAATTCACTTAAGGATAAGGTGGCGAGAAAGGTTGCAAAGTGGGTCAAAACCCACGTCACAAACGTCTCGCTTGGCAACCCAAATGTTGGGCTCTGTTGCAGTCATTAAGTCGAGGATCCCCCTGCATATTTCCTTCTTATTTGTCCTGCCATCCAGTCTTTCACACAGAATCATCAATTCCGGAGAAACCCTTTCCCAAAGGCCGTCCTTGTAACTCAAAGCGGTGGGGCAATTAAACAAATGTTGGATTTCCCCCATCCTTGCCGCCGGATATTTCATCTCACGTACATGGTTCTGCCTTTTGATACAACCCTTGATTTGCAGATGTGTTTGCTGGGCAAAGCTATTTTCCATCTGAAGGGGAAATTAGATTTTTTTTTTCCTCCCCAGGAGTAAAAACCTTGAATGAACAGTCAATCAGGAAAGCGTCGGGGAAGGTTAAACAAAGCGCAGACAAAGACCTTGATTTTGTGATGCTACGAATTCTGGAGGCTACACAATGAATTTCTGCTGGGCAGCCGAGAGCAGGCAAATGCATATTTATGTACATACTTCGCTACGAAACGATGTGGTTGGGCTTAGTTTTGGGGGAGGAAAATAAAGGGGGAAAAATTCTGCCGCTGCCTAACAGCATCCATCGATATACATCTGGCTAGAGTCCCGTCAGTGTGTGAGAAAGTTGAGGGCTTTCTTTCAGTTTGGAAACTGAAAGGATATTTCCTGTGTGAGCAAGGAGACAGCAAGGAGCCTGGGCGCAGCTTAGCTCAACAGTTCTGTACTAAAGCTCCTTGGTGCTCTGAAACTAAACCTGAAACTGAGACTCCTCTCCGCTGCTTGTGTTTTGCATTTGGAAGAGATTTCTTTTCAGGTGGGGAGGGGGAGTAGAACTCCTTGGCATCAGAGTGTATTAATAATAACAATATAGAAAATACTAATAGCTCTGATGGTCATTTTGAAAAATCATTTCTTAGGGAGCCCCTAGAAACCAAGAGGAACATAGGTGCCAAATTTCAAGTCTGTAGGCTTTATGGTTCTGGAGATTTTGTGATGATGCGTTGAGTGGTATTTCGCTTATATATATATGTATATAGATTGATATGCAACTAGCTAGTCAATATTCCTGGGAATGTTGGGGTCACCTGCATTTTTGAGAAACTGCTCCAGAGCTAATTATGGAGAATAATAACTGAGCTTTCCTCCCCTATAGAAATGTTGCATAAATGCTCTTCTATTTCATCATTAATTAAAAATAACTTCAAGCAAATTCGCTTTGCTTTCAAACTCAGTGCCCCTACAATGGGACCGTGTAAATTGGGCCATAAAAGGCAGCTTTTAAACAAAATATGGCAGCTTTGTAGGTTTTTGATTCGGTAGAAGTGCATTCATCTGAAAGATTAGTGCTATGGTAGTGCAAGGCTTGGAATTTGATCCTAAAATGGTGTTTTGAAGTGTGTGGAAGTGCAAATGTACAGCCAGTTTGGTGTAGTGGTTAAGGTGCTGGCCGAGAGACCTGGAAACAGTGAGTTCTAGTCCTGCCTTAGGCACGAAAGACAGCTTGGTGACTGTGGGCCAATCACCAGGAGACAGTGAGTTCTAGTCCTGCCTGAGGCACGAAAGACAGCTGGGTAACTTTGGGACAATCACCAGGAGACACTGAGTTCTAGTCCTGCCTGAGGTGTGAAAGCTAGCTGGGTGACTCTGTGCCAATCATCAGGAGATGGTGAGTTCTAGTCCCACTTTAGGCATAAAAACAACCTGGGTGACTTAGGGCCAATCACCAGGAGCCTATGAGTTCTAGTCCTGCCTGAGGCATGAAGGACATCACTCTTCCACATGTTCTTTTCTTCCAAAGAAGTTTCCAACCAAGATAAAAACGAAAACACAACCTTCGTAATTCTCATTAAATAAACGAGAGCCAGACATCCACACACAACTGGAAGATCTGAAGGACCAACTGGGAACAGGTCCTCCAGGAATAAAATCTATCCATGCGGTCTCTGGGAGTCAACGTTGACTTGATGGCCCTGAACCCATCCATTCACAGCCCTCTTGTAAGAACAATCCATGGTTTAATTTACAAATAGGGGACAGTTACACTTTTTTTTTTTAACAAAAAGCCCAAACAAAACCTGTATGGATTCTAGAAAATGTCTTCAACTCATTTAAAGCAAAAGTTTATTTTCTTGTTGTCATAACTCTTGATAGCTAACAGATGGTTGAGATGTTCGCCTGTCAAATGGATTGGCTCTGCTTAGTTCCTTGGACTAGTTCTTGGGGTTTTGTTTTTTTTAAAAAATGTTCTAATTTTAAAAACATTTCACATGTGAGCTGGATGTATTTTTTTTGTAAATAACCCAGTTAGGAGACGACGGTAAGGGATCATTAAATATAATTTCTCATTTTTCTTTCTTTCTTTGTACAGCTAACTAACGGACACAAGGTGGCATTGTCTTCTATCAGTTACGCTGGATGTTCCATTTCCATTTTCTGCTTGACTATCACGCTGGTCACGTTTGCAATTCTATCGTGAGTAATTTTAAGTTTCCTTCCCGCTGAACCAATATCAGTCTGGAAATATAGATAGTTGGTTGGAAGAAGAAGAAAAAACTACCTCAAAAACTCCACAACTTCATTTTCAGGCCACTGGACTGAATGCTTTTAGGTGCCGAGCGTTTCATAAAAAGATTATTAATTCCTTAAACCTCCTTTAATTAGATGCCACCCATATATTAGTAACACACAGTTGAGTTTGGTGTAAATTACTTTAATTTCTTGGAAGAGGGAAGCTTTTAAACATAGCAGGCTATTTCCTTGTCTTTTATTCTCAGGGTATTTACAGAAGCGTGACATTCCCCATAGTGGGTTCCCACGAAATCCTGAGACCTATAGGTCCAAAACTTGCAGAAAAACTCAGGATTTGTAGTCAGTGGTGAGATTTAAATTTTTTTACTTCCAGTTCTGTGGACATGGCTTGATGGGCATGGGGTGGCTTGGTGGGCGTGACCGGGGAAGGATACTGCAAAATCCCCATTCTCTCCCCACTAACCTGCTTTCCAGCTCTGTTCTCCTGTGCAGGGCAACCAAAGAAGACCCAGATGATCAGCTGGGACTTGGAAGGCAGAGAATAGATTGGGGGGGAGCGAGGGGCAAGGCCAGTCAGAAGTGGCATTTGGCGGTTCTCTGAACTACTCCAAATTTCTGTTACCGGTTCTCCAGAACTGGTCAGAACCTGCTGAATACCACCTCTATTTGTAGTCCTAAAGCATCTTGAGTGAGCCTGTTGGAGAAGATAGCAGAAATTTATTTACCCAACCAAGATGTTGAAATGAGGAAGGGACCAGTGGTGAGATGAGTAGGAGGGTCTGTGATTGGCAGAAGTAAGATTAAGAATGTTATTGTAGATAGTTGTGCCATGCTTTGGATTTGAGTGCAAAAAAAAAAAATGCTTTGTGGGAGAGACAAATTAAGCACCTGTGTGAGAAACCCATCTTGTCATGCCCAAAAAGCCAGGTTCACACATAAAGGAATAGTTAAATTGATTCACTGCTAAAAGCCTAGGCACATGAATCTTTTCAGCTAAGGATCAGAACATGCTTGGAGTTAGATAAAGAATTCAACAGAATTCAAGGGAGGTTGGATTTAGTTCACTTGTGGCTATGCAGGGATTCTAAGTTAATCTCTCTCTTGACTCCACCCTCAGGATTTGAGACTCCTACTCCTACACTTCCCACCAAGCCACACCCACAGAACCAGTAGTAAAAAAAATTTTTTTGACTCCCACCACTGCTTCAGGGGTGCAGAAACATCTCCTTACGCTTCGATTCAGAAATCTGAATGGAAACCCACACCGTTGAGCCTTTTCTCCAAACCCAATGCCATCAATCTCGTCAATGGTGTTGGATCCATGGATCAGACCAGATCCTTTATTCAAACGACCTGGGCCCTTCCAAGGAGACTTCGTTTAATTCCCCCAAACGTCGCAAATAACAAGGCTTATGATTATCCTCAGCTTCGATGGTTCTCTGAGAAATATTTGCTTGGTCTTCCGGAATGCCAATTTAACTGTGCTTTGGGGAGGCTAGTAATATATTTTTCTTATTTCCATATATATAGCGAAATCACTTCAAGGTAGAGAATGTGACAATGAGGTATTTACGAAGTGCCAGATTTCGACTGAGTATGCAAATGGCCTTTTCCATCAATCTTGCTCGTTTAATTTGATCCTTGTTTAATTTTTAACTTGTTTAATGTTTAATTTAATTTTGCCTTGTCCAGCAAGTTACTCACGCTTACGCATCTGAAGGGGATCAGACCCAAACATATTAACATGAAAACCACTTGGGCTGATTCTCCATAAGAGATGCACGCTGATTGAAAGCCCCAAAGGTTGGGGTGTGTGTGTGTGTGGATACCAATAGAGGAGAATTATTTGCAGCGCAGGGTTAAAAGAAGGGGTCCTTGGTGCTCTCTGAGCCTGGAAAACACCAGGAACCCTCAGATTAGGGTAAAAAAAGACCCCAAAACAAATGGGAAGATATTCATATTTCCTTTCCTGTCTTCCCTTGTTGGAGGCGAGTGCCAATTTTTGGAATTTATTCTGCTTCCTTATGTGGAACACAACAACCTTTCAGCATTGTCGTTTGGTTTTAATTAGTTTTATTAAACCCAGAAGCATTTTGGGAAAGGAGGGGAGATGGGCCCAGTTTTTTTTTTCCAACTTTGCTGAACGTTGTGTGAGCCTGCAGGGAGGCTGTGTCTATCAAAAGGCTTTAAAAAGTAGCGGAATCCAGTTAATATTGCAAAAGTTCATTGCATGGGTGCCAAGTAGAGTTGGCCTCAGGAAATTACCACCCTAATTAAAACCTAATTTGGTAACCTTTCCAAACTGGAGGGCTAAGACAATTAAGAAGAGAGAGAGAGAGAGAGAAACAGAGACAGAGAGAGAGAAACAGAGAGACAAAGACAGAGGTAGAGAGAGACAGAGAGAGAGAGACAGAGTCAGAGAGAGACAAAGAGACAGAGAGAAACAGAGACAGACAGAGAGAGAGGCAGAGAGACAGAGAGAGAGAGAGGCAGAGAGAGAGAGAGAAACACACAGAGAGAGACACACAGAGAGAGTCAGAGAGAGACACACACACACAGAGAGAGAAACAGGGAGAGAAATGGAGACAGAGACAGAGAGACAGAGACAGAGAGAGAGAGAGAAACACACAGAGAGAGACAGAGAGAGAGAGAGACAGAGAGAGAGAGACAGAGACAGAGAGAGACAAAGAGACAGAGAGAGAAACAGAGACAGAGAGAGACAGAGAGAGACAGAGAGACACACAGAGAGACAGAGACAGAGAGAGGCACAGAGAGAGACAGAGAGAGAAACAGAGACAGAGAGAGAGACAGAGAGAGACAGAGACACACACACACACAGAAACAGAGAGAGACAGAGACAAAGAGACAGAGAGAGAAACAGAGAGAGAGAGAGAAACAGGGAGAGAAACAGAGACAGAGAGACAAAGAGAGAGACAGAGAGAGAGAGACACACACACACACAGAGAGAGAGAGAGAGAGAGAGACAGAGAGAGACACAGAGAGTTGTCATAGCTTTTGATGTAGAAAGTGATGGGCAATTGGATATGTAGAATGGAATTCATCTTGGTGGTCCTCTCAGGTGAATGACAGCAGATACTCCATTGTTTCTGTAGACAAGTGTTTCTCCACCTCTTCAACTTTAAGATGGGTGGACTTCAACTCCCAGCACTCTACTGAAATATTTTCATTTTCAGAGCACTCCCTGAACACCGCAACCCAATATTTTAATTTTCAGAATACTAATAGATGTGCCTCTTTCCCCCCACCAGCTCCGTCAGTACCATCCGCAATCAGCGTTATCACATCCATGCCAACCTTTCCTTTGCTGTCTTGGTGGCTCAGATCTTGCTCCTTATCAGCTTCCAGTTTGACCCTGGGACGGTGAGTGAAACGGATATTCCTCTGATTTGGCCTTCAATGGAAGAGAAGAGCAGAATATTGGAAGGACCTTGGAGGTCTTCTAGTCTAACCCCCTGCTCGAGCAGGAGATTTTTCTACCATTCCAGACAAGTGGCTGTCCAGTCTCTTCTTAAAAACTTCCAGTGATGGAGCACTCACAAGTTATCATAATTTATGTTAATTTATCCAGCTAATTGTAGAACATAGAATAACAGAGTTGGAAGAGACTTGGAGGTCTTCTAGTCCAACCCCCTGCATAGGCAGAAAACCCTACACCACTTCAGACAAATGGCTGTCCAATCTCTTCTTAAAAACTTCCAGTGTTGGAGCATTCACAACTTCTGGAAGCAATTTGTTCAACTGATTGAATTGTTCTCACTGTCAGGAAATTCCTCCTTAGTTCTAAGTTGCTTCTCCCCTTGATTAGTTTCCATCCATTACTTCTAGTTCTCCCTTCAGGTGTTTTGGAAAATAGGTCAATGGCACTACGCCCCACTGATGTGCAGAGCATGAGTGTTTTGTGAATGTAGCAATGGTGTTTTTAGAATAGGAGAGGAGAGGAGAGGAGAGGAGAGAAGAGAAGAGAAGAGAAGAGAAGAGAAGAGAAGAGAAGAGAAGAGAAGAGAAGAGAAGAGAAGAGAAGATAGAAGAAGAGAAGAGAAGAGAAGAGAAGAGAAGAGAAGAGAAGAGTTGGAAAGGATCTTGAAGGTCTTCTAATCCAACTATCTGCTTAGGCAGGACATCTTATACCATCCCAGCCAAATGGTTGTCCACTCTCTTCTTAAAAACTTCCACTGTGGAGTATTTGCAACTTCTGGAGGCAAGTTGTTCCACTGGTTGATTGTTCTCACTGTTAGGGAGTTTCTCCTTAATTCCAGGTTGTTTTTCTCTTTGATTAGTTGTGCCATCCATTGTTCCTTGTCTGGCCTTCTGCTGTTTGGAGAATAGCTTGACTCCCTCTATTCTTGTGGCAGCCCCTCAAATGTGGGAAGACTGCTATCCTGTCCCCTCTAGTCCTTCTTTTCACAGGAGAAGAGCACACAGCTCGGCTGAGAAATGTCTCAGGACCTAGCCAAATATTTATCTCTTCCACCCAATTTTTTGCCTAAACTGAGCATTCCTGCATTGCCACCCAATTCTGCACTCCTTACTCGTTTGAAATATAGGCCCCCGGCCTTTTGAAGCAAACCCTCCTTTATTTTTAGACAATTTGTCACCGCGTTATTAAATGGCAGCCACCATGCTGACAGGCATATAATCCCGGTGGCATTTAAATAAGGAGGTTATTCGTTTCACATTTGTTCGACAGGCATTGGCACATGGTAAATGTGACAAATGTTTGTGTTTTCCCTTTGATTTCCATTGAAAAATAAAGGCAGGGATTAATCACGGCACAGCGGTCGTTGTTTAACGCGATAATTAATACTATTAATAACCGTAATGATAATCATGTGTTTTCATCAGAAATTGTCCTGGCATTTGGTCAAATGCGGACTCCCTTTATTTCTCTGGGAGGGAGGGAAAAACAAAAAACCCAGCACAGCAAAGAGACAATAAAACATGAAGAAGAAATTGTATTTGGGATATTATTCTTTTTTTAAACATTTCCTGGGGTTTCCCCTTGCCTATGTGTGAACGTTGACAAAACAGGCTCAAACTCCCACTTACAAAACACAAAACCGACTTCATTCCTTCAACCTAACCTTCTATCTGGTTCCAGTTTATTGAAATGGAGCTGACAGTTTGGCAAGTTCTTCTCCCCACAACCCCCAGGTCCTAGGGGAACAAAATAGATAAAGTAATAATAGCAGCAAAATTTTCTCTATCCATCACTTTGAAAGGAGGGCGTAGAGAGGTTGCCATTTTTCCCCCCTGCGGTGCTCTGAAATTCTTATTATTTTTATGGGGTGCTGTTGTGCATTTTGCCAGTTAAGGGGGTGGGGAAGTAAGTAAATGGCTTGTATTCAGCGAATGAGTAATCCATGTTTCTTTCACAATGGGGATCCCAGATGTCTATAGAATAAATAACAGAGTTGGAAGAGATCTTGGAAGTCTTGAGGTCCAAACTTCTGCTCCAGCAGGAAACTCGATAGCCAGGGGTGGGTTTCTACCAGTTCTGTCCACCTGTGTAGAACCAGTAACTCTGAAGAGCAGCAGACATAGAACCGGTTCTATGTCTGCTGAGGTTTTTGCCCACCTGGGCTCTTACCTGATCTTTATTTCCTGATTTTTCAACTTCAGCTGTCGAATGAGGCACAGCTGCAGTTAAAAAAGCAGGAAAAGAGGGCTGTTTCAAAGGATGCTTCTCTGCATGCAGCCTGCTGATGACGATTTACAGGCACGCAGCTCCCAGCGTGCAGGGAAGCTCGTAAATCCCGAACCGGTAGTTAACCTTGTCGTATCCCACCCCTGCCTATGGCATTTCAGACAAATAGCCATCCACTTTTTTCTTAAAAACTTCCGGTCTTGGAGCATCCACAACTTCTGGAGGCAAGCTGTTCCACTGGTTAATTGTCCTCACATTTAGGAAATTTCTCCTGAATTCCAGGTTGCTTCTCTCCTTGATTAGTTTCCATCTGTTGCTTCTTGTCTTGCCTTCTAGTGATTTGGAAAATAAATTGACCCCCTCTTCTTTGTGGCAGCCCCTCAAATACTGGAATATTGCCACCATGTCTTCCATATTCCTTCTTTTCTCTAGACTGACAATGCTTAATTCCTGCAAATGTTCTTCATATGTCTCCAGGCCCTTAATCATCTTAGTTGCTCTTTCCCCCAGCCTTACATTTGCGTTGTTCCATTTCGATATATAGTTTGGAAGTGTTTTGCATAAAAAGAAAAATCTCTGTGAGGTTGATCGTAGTTGTCTTTTGTTTAGATTGTGCAATTTTATTGCAATTGTATGCATCCTTCCTTCCTTTTTTTTATGGTTCTGGAGAATTACCCATGATCTGTGATTTACCCTGTGATCTGCCAACCAAATTGAACCTCACCCTCAACTCAGTTACTTCCATTGTCCTGTCTAGTTTCTGGATATCTTCCTTCGGTTCTAACAAGTTAAATGTATGGATTGAGATAGTGGCTACTTTAACTTAACCCTGGACCTTCCTGTAAATGGTTTAGATGAGGAGAGGAGAAATATATGAACCTCTAGATATTGTTTGGCTACCAAATCTCCTACTAATCATGTTGCCATGGATAGCTTGAGGTTCAGCCACATCTGGGAGATTTTAATTTCCAAACTCTCGATCTAGATTAGCCTTTCTCAGCCCAAGTGAATACAAGGAAACACCCAAGTCTACATGAGAGATGAATACCCAAGCCTACATGAGAAATCCATACCGCTGGGATCTTATTCCTATAGATAGATGGGCATCTTCTACGGTTTAGATCAGTTATTCTCTTGATTTAGGACTGATGTGAATAGACCTCAGAAGGAGCATCTCATTGTCCCTGTCTGGAAGTTGGTTGATCAAATAACATCTTCACAATTACAGATAGACTATAGCTCCAGGAAGCTTAGAGCAGATGGAAGGATTTAGTTAACCTTGGTTGACCTCCCAAAATGTCATCAAAAAATCCCAGCGGCGTAGGCTAGACAAAGAAGTAAAAAAATATCCTTAGGATGAGAGAATGTCAAAAAAAACCATCCATCTGGATATGTCCATGGAGTCTGGAGGAACTATTCCTTAAGAGAAAATTTTAAAAAATATATAGACAACAGGGAAGAAGGTGTGGGAGTGGAACTCGCTTGAAACTTCTCTCTAAGGCACCAAGGACCCAGTTATGAAGAAGGGAAGAGGCATTCTAATCTTGGCAAGGCAACAAGGTGACACTTCAGCGAATGTTGCCTAGGTAAGCTGAGTCACACGGTTGCTAAGCAACCTGACAATGTTTGTCTACCTCGCAGCATCGTGTCAAAAGCTTAGTTCAGCTCTTCCAAAGAAGAGAAGGAAGCACATGTTGTGTGACAGGTGGCAGTAGAGATGCTGACCTACAAAAGGTTAGAGGGGGAAATGATTACAAAAAAAAACCAGATTGTGTGAAATCTCTCCGTACCTGGATTCCAGTCGATGGGAAAGAAGGAGATGACATGTTAAAAACAGGATGACAGTAGGGTTAGGGCAAAAAAGTCAGATAGAGGGAAATGGCATCAAATGTGGCCGATTATGCAATTACTCTCGTGGCTCATAAATCTAATTTTCTGTCCACCTCTCCCTCTCCTTTTGATGGTCTCAGTTTTCTTCTCATCACTCCTTCAGGGGCAACTCCTAACAGCTAGAATGATTAATCCGTGGAATAACGTGTTGTGGGTGCTGCCACATTGGCGGTTTTCAAGAAGAGATTGGACAAGCGTTCATCTGAAATGAGATAGGGTCTCCTGCTTGAGCAGGGGGTTGGACTAGAAGACCTCCAAGGTCCCTTCCAACTCTGTTACTCTACTATTCTCCTTGAGAGAGCAGAAGCAGGATTCAGGTTGCAAGGTTGCAACGTAGGAGGGAAAAACAGACTCCTCATATTCCCTATAAGTCTTCTCCTCGTTGCCTAGTGTGGTGTTTTTCAACCTTGGCAACTTTTAAGATCTGTGGATTTCAGTTTGTAGAATTCAGCCAGCCAGCCCTGATTATCTTAAAGTTGCCAAGATTGAGAAAGACTGGTCTAGTGGGTCACTTTTAACACCACCTCGTAGTGTTCTGACCCAGCTCCCAAACACGATAAACCCTCTGTATTTAAATCTATGATTCCTTTATTAGGAGCAGTAGCAGCCCGACAAAAAGTTTCTCTCTCTTACACACACAGCAGGCTAACAAGTCTGTCCAGCAGGGAAATGAATAGTTGTCTTCCACACCTATTCATCTCCACCCCCTGTCTTTTATCCCCAGAGCTAGGGTGGTGCCTCACTAGCAGCAGTGGCTCTTTTGTCCCAAGGACTGGCCCATAGATTTCCACTGCTCTCCTCTCTTCTGCCTTCTGCGCATCCGTGCATCAGGCACTGGACCCAGCTGTTCCTCCTCTTCCTCATCAGCCACCTCCAGACCTGGGGGCTATTGACTCTCCATCTGAGGGCTGATGGACGGCCCAGGCTCCCTCCCTCTCTCTCCCCTCCCTCCCTCCTCCCCTCTCTCTGCCAGCTCCATTCCCCCTTCCCCCTCAGGGCTCCCAGGTTGCTCTGATGCTGGCCCCCAACTCCTCCCCCTCCTCCTCCTTCTCTGATTCAGCTGCTGGGGGTGGGGTGGCTGACAGGCCACAACGCTTCCCAAAAAGCATCAACCAGCAAGAAGGAACGGAGTGCTTTAGAAGTCTGCTATGTCTTATTGATGCAAATCTTGTTGGACAAGATATTTGGCGAGCTCTTAAAATCTCCCCCCTCTTAATACAATTTGAATCTTACTTTCCGTGGAAGGAATCCATTTCTTGATTTCAAAACCATGAGGCTTACTTTCCAGGGAATTTACATATTTATGAATTTAATCCATTCACATGGCCCTCTGTCTGTTCGATATGACTCTAGGCGACTAACTCTTAAAGATGAAATAAAAACAGGTTAAGAACAACCAATACTTAAAAAAATCCCATTGTGAATAGCATAAAATAGCAGCTGAGAACATTCAAAGCCAGCATGAAATGGGCTACACTCATAATTGTAGGGCCCCAGGCTTGATGACAAAGCCAGGATGTTTAATATCCTGAGAAAGGCCAGCAGGATTGAGGCTAATCTGATGTAAATTCTCAACTGTCCAGGTCATGGGTACTTTTTCAAAAGGCAACTGGGCTTTGTTTTTTTTTTCCTTTGAAGATGTTTCACTTCTCATCCAAGAAGCTTTTTTAGTTCTGACCGAAGTCAAAGTCAGAAGCCTGAAATCATAAGTCAGAACTGAAGAAGCTTCTTGGATGAGAAGTGAAACATCTTCAAGAAAAACAAAAAACAAAGTCCAGTTGCCTTTTGAAAAAGTAACTTTGGGGTGGCCGTTCGGGGTGGCTGCTGCTGCTGCTATGTGTGTGTGTTTGTGTGTGTGTAAATGTGTGTGTGTGAGAGAGAGAGAGAGAGAGAGAGAGACAGAGACAGAGACAGACAGACAAAGAGACAGAAAGAGAAAGAGGGAAAGCGAAAGAAAGAAAGAAATGAAAGAAAGAGAAAAAAAGCGAGAAGAAAAGAGAAAAGGGGAGAACAGGAGACAACAAAAAGGAAAAGAGAAAAAGAAAGAAAGAGAGAGAGAGACCTATTGATAAAAAATATTGATCTAGTAACAGCTGATTAAATGAGCTGGTTTCTTACAAATCCTCAGATCTTGGCAAGAGACTGTGATAGTAAAAATAAGGTATCTGTATCATCTTAGGCACCACAAAATTGCACCTCTTATTGAGTTCAGTAGGTGCAGCCCATTTTGGCCATCTGGGGCAAGGGTCAGAAGATTTCTGCTCCTCACCTTTCCTGTTCATTTGGCTGATTTGTCTTCTTTGCAGGTGCCTTGCAAAACCCTGGCCATTCTCCTTCACTTCTTCTTCTTGAGCACCTTTGCTTGGATGCTGGTGGAAGGGATCCACCTCTACAGTATGGTGATCAAAGTCTTTGGATCGGAACAGAACAAGCTCTTATACTACTATGGCATTGGATGGGGTAAGTCAGGTCTTGTTTTACCCTTAAAAGGAAATAAAAAAGACAATAGATAACTTCATGGGTGTAGAAGTTTCCTGCAAGCCAACCATCATGTCTTTTTAGCAGCAACCCACCATTGACTGCTGAATATCGCAGTGCCCTGGGTTGTGGTCTCCCACAAAATGTCCTGTGACTCCTTCTCCTTCTTCTTTCTGATTCCTCTTCTTCTGACCTCCATCTTCTGTGAGAAGCAAACGTGGGATTCTACCGGTTCGGCCCAGTTCAACTGAACTGGTAGCTTCGAAGATCAGCCGAGAGGGAACCACTTCGCTCGGACGATCTGTTCTTCAGTTTGGCCCGCCCGCCTGCCCGCCCAGGCTCTAGCCTGTCCTTTATTTCCTGCTTTTTCAACTTCAGCTGCTTTGTGCAGCACAGCTGATTGCTGTGTGCGCCCTGTGTGACACACGGGGCTTGCAGGAGAAGATGATTTTCAAATACTGCGCACATGCGCGCGCATTTGGCATGCACATGTGCCAAGCGCGTGCTCACCAAACTGGTTATTACACCAGTTGAAGCCCACCCTTGGTGAGGGGGTGTCATGGAGGAAATTTAGCTGGGTTTGCTGAGAATCCCCCATAAATAGGATTTGGAAAACAGTTGGGGCAGGGATGTCAAACTCAAGGACAGATCTGGCCCACACGGCCACCCTGGAAACAGTGAAGGAATGGCCCGCGGAGCTCTGTTTTCGGTAGCAGAGGGCTGCAGGAAGCTGTTGCGGCCGAAAATGGAGCTCAGGAACCTGTTTTCTTTGGCAGAATGCTCGGGCTGGCACAGGCACCCCCGACACAAGTGATGTCAAGTTGGCCATGCCCACCCTAGCCACCCCTCTGGGCTCCCTGGAGGTCAAACACAACCCTGATGTGGCCCTTAAGGAAATCAAGTTTGACACCCCTGAGTTGGGGGAATCAGATGATTTATTTTTCTATTCATTCATTCATTCATTCATTCATTTATTTATCAAGCATGTATTAGATAACGGATACAAGTATAAACATGATTATTAATACATGAAACGTATTAAAAGGGAGCATTAGGACAGGGACGGTAGGCAGATTGGTGCACTTATGCACGTCCCCTTACAGACCTCTTAGGAATGGGGTGAGGTCAACAGTAGACAGTCTAAGATTAAAGTTTTGGGGGTTTGGGGAAGAAACCACAGAGTCAGGTAGGGCGTTCCAGGCATTGACCACTCTGTGGCTAAAGTTGCATTTCCTGCAATCAAGTTTGGTGCGGTTTACCTTGAGTTTGTATCTGTTGTGTGCTCTTATGTCATTATGGTTGAAGCTGAAGTAGTCATTAACGGGTAGGCCATTGCAATGGATCATTTTGTGTACAAACATGGCTAGGGAGGATCCTTGAGTTCTGCGGAGGAGCTTCTTCCATTCCCAAGTTCCACTGAGATCTCAACATCCACTCGATGGCCCAGGAGAAGAAAAAAATCCATCAGAATGACAGAGCAGCCTCCTTAAATCTTAAACAGTCTGGAAATGCAAAGAACCAAAGGAATGCTTTTCCCATCCCAAGGAGAAAGTGTTGGCTGTATATAAGTGTTGGCTGTATATAAGTTGGACAAATAAATAAATGAACTGATGAAAAGACCCTCCCTCCTTTCAGATTCTAATCAGAAAATTGTGTGATTACCGCTGGGATTCAGAGTGCAAGACAACCAGATCATCCCCCTTGGAAACAACGTCTCTCAATTCTTCTGCTTCCTTCTGAATCTTCTTTTTTAACCCATCCTTATGAATCTTCTTAATTACCCTTTTGCTAGTAATTAACCTATGCTTAGCATCTTAAAGTATCAGAAGGGAAGGGCCAATATTGATATTTTTTTTCCCCCATCAAACCTTCTAGCTCCCTTCCTGACGCAAGGACTTGTTATTTAATTTGCTTGCTTATCTGCTTGCTTGCTTTTCCTGGTTGGATTGCAGTTTAGGGGAACTACATCGGAGCTACAAAACCAATTAAAGAAAGGTAGAACTTCTTCATATCTTTGCCAGCTTCTAGGCTACCATGCCACGGTTTATTCTCTGGAGGTTCAATAATGGAGAATATTTGTAGCTCGGGGTGAAATGAGGGCTCCTTGGTGCTCTGTGAGCATGGATATTTTCTTGCAGATGTTTCATTACCCAACCTAGGTAACATCATCAGTTCTTAGTGCTCTCTGAGCTTGATAGTCTTTGCAGACATTTCATTACCCAACCTAGATGGCATCATCAGTTCTGATAATGTTACCTAGTTGGGTAATAAAGCATCTGCAAGAAAATAACTAAGCTCAGAGAGCACCAAGGACCCCTCATCTCTGGGGTCTATTCCTGGGACCTTAGCTGTCTCTAATAGGAAGAATTTATATTCATCGCAATGAATTCATTACCAACAAATTAGAAACAAGTGTTTTTTAAATATCCACAAGTATCTGACAGACTGTTTTTCTGTTTAAACAACTGTTTGTAGAACATCTCTGTGGGGGTCTTTCTTAATTGCCTTTGCTCTTGAAATGCAGTCCTTTTTACATCAAAAATTATACTTCCCTTCCTTATCTTCTGGGTTCATTCAAAGCAGTCTGCACTAAAGGCATTTAGCAAAACAGAGAGAGGAAAAAAGTTCTATAATAATTGTAAAACAGAGGAGCCTGTATCCCGAAACCTATTCAGAACTATTGGAGGAAACAGGAATGACAGAATCCAACCATTACTCCAGATATTTTGAACAAGAAATGAGCGTTAAAGAATTATGAGGCTCAACACTAGCAGCCATTGCTCAAGAAACTTATTTGCCCCCAAATGCAATGTGAAATGTGTATATTTATGGCCTTTTAATGATTCATTTCATGTTTAATATACTTATGACTCAGAATTCCATGAATTTGGCATCTGAAATCAACCTTCTGAAAAAAAAGAGCTTGTTATGGGGAAGATAGATAGATAGATAGATAGATAGATAGATAGATAGATAGATAGATAGATAGATA